ACGAAGCCACAAAACTTGAGGTGTCCCAACCGGGATCTTGACCACGAATCCACCAAACTTGAGGTGTGTCAACTGGGATCTTGAGGGATCTTGACTGCGAAGCCACCAAACTTGGGTGTCCCAACCAGGATCTAGGTCACAAAACTCGAGGTGTCCCAACCGGGATCTTCGCCACAAAGCCACAAAACTTGACATTGAGGTGTGGCTTCCGGGATCTTGCGGGATCTTGGTTTCGAAGCCACCAAACTTGAGGTGTCCCAACCGGCATCTTGACCACAAGGCCACAAACTTGAGGTGTGCCAACCGGGATCTTCACCACTAGACACCAAAAGCTGAGGTGTGCCACGAAGCCACACAACTTGATGTGTCCCCCAACCGGGGTCTTGAATGATCTTGATCATGAAGCCACAAATCTTGAGCTGTCCCAACAGGGAGCTTGACCACGAAGCCACAAAGCTTTAACTGGGATCTTGACCACGAAGCCACAGAACTTGAGGTGTGCCAGCCGGGATCGTGAGGGATCTTGACGACGAAGGCACAAAACTTTACTGTAGGTGTGCCAAGCGACGAAGCCACATGCAAAGCTTGAGGTGTCCCAACCGGGACCACGAAGCCACAAAACTTGAGGTGTTGAAGCCGGGGTTTGGACCGCGAAGCCGCAAAACTTGAGGGGTGCCAACTTGGATCATGACGTGTTTTGACCACAAAGCCAAAAAACTTGACCACGAGGCCTCAAAACTTGGTGTGCGTGCCAACCGGGATCTTGAGGGATCTTGACCACGAAGCCAGAAAACATGCGGTGCCCAACCCGGGTATTGACCACAGAGACGCAAGACTTGAGGTGTTTTAACCGGGCTCTGATTGCGAAGCCACAAAACATGAGGTGTCCCAACTGGGGTCTTGGATACGATGCCACAAAACTTGAGGGACCACGAAGCACAAAATTTGAGGTGTGCCAACCGGGATCTTGAGGGATCTTGACTACGAAGCCGCAAAAACTTGAGGTGCCCCAACCGGGATCAAGACCACGAAGCCACAAAACTCGAAGTTTGTCAACCGGGATCTTGTGGTACCTTGCCTGCTAAATTCCACGAAGCCAGACAACTTGAGGTGTCCCAACCGGAATTTTGAATGATCTTGATCACGAAGCCACAAAACTTGAGGTGTCCCAGCCGGGATCTTGACCACGAAGCCACAAAGCTTGAGGTGCCTCAACCGGGATCTTGATCACGAAGCCACAAAACTCAATGTGTGCCAGCCGGGGTCTTGCGGGATCTCGACCGCGAAGCCGCAAAGCTTGAGGTGTTCCACCCGGGATCATGACGGGCCTTGACCACAACACTTGAGGTGTCCCAACTGGGATCTTGAGCACGAAGCCACAAAACTTGAGGTGTGCCAACCGGGATATTGGCCACGAAGCCACAAAAATTAAGGTGTCTCAGCCGGGAGCTTGACAAAGATGCGCCAACCGGGATCTTGACGCGCCTTGATCACGGATGTGTTCATGTCGGCACATGGTCGCTCCTACCATAGCAGTGCGCAGTGTGAGCGTGTGTGCAGACACAGAACAACAACATATGCAATGTGCCGTGATTGTGAATGCGAGATGGCAGCTACATGGAAGCATTGAGTCTACGAAGAGCCGTGGATGGCTCGGACAAACTCGATGGGTGGCCTTTTTGCGGCAGTCAGGCCTTGCGGCTGCCAGGGCATATGTATGAATGGATGTATGGCCCATTTACGGCGGTCAGGCTTTACGACTGCAAGAGCACATGGCGTGTGTGGCCCATTTACCGCAAGCAAGCTTTACGATCGTCAGGGCATGGACGCATTGGTGTTTTGCATAGCTTTTTGAACAGTTGGAAAAGATAAAGCTTTATTGTTTCGATAAAACCAAGCTCAAAACTCAAAACATGATCGAGAAAGAGCAAACTGATTTTCAGTTTTGTTGTATTGCTTGCGTTGTTTATTTTCTCGACATGCAATTTGATTCTCATGTTTGCGTTTGGACTAACATCAACGCCCGCCGTTGCAGCGAGACCTCTCCAGGGGGCAGGAAGCCCGGGATTGATTGAGCATGAGTCCCCGGACAATAAGTCCGTTTGCGGTGGTCAGGCTTGCGGCTGCCAGGGCGTATGAAAAGAGATTGAGAACCCGCTTACGGCTGCCAGGGTTGTGTGAAAAATGAGCGACGTTTGAACAGCCCCTTTTGCGCTGATGCAAGTTTCAAGTTTTACAAACAGCATGGCTTTGCAGTCGCATTGTGCATCTTGCTTTTGCAATCAGGTACATGTGAACACTTATGTATCTCGCTGTAGGTAACAATCATCATAACGTCCGCTGTTTGAACAACCGTTGGCCGCTCGCTGTCCGCCGGCAACGAAAAGCTTCCACGCCACCTTGTGCCAACTAACCGGCAGCGCCCGCCATCCTGAAACTCCAAGCAGCTGCCTCCAATCTGAAGCTTGCAGACCTGCAGCACCGTTATAAATTTCTTAGAAGTCCGTTCTGAAACTTCTATCAGCTCCGTTTTGTTTGTATTGGCATGTGTGCAGCCTAAAAAGCTGTCCGCTTGTCGGTCTGCTGTCTCTCAAGAGGTTGGCTAAACTCGCCCGCAAAGACTTCCTGCCAGGAAAGAGCACAGCGCTGTTCAGGTTGATTTGGACATATCGCTCACCTCACCTTCTAGCTTGATGTGATTGTAAGAAATGATGGCTGGGATGTAGTAAAACGACACACGCCTTGATACCCGATGCTCCTTCCCTTCAACAAACAATGCAGAATGCAACCCCTTATCTCGCGTTGGTGTTTGGCTGCACTTTGTCTTGCATGTTTGCACGTTCACGGGCTTGACGTTATGGCACTTCCGACGAAAAGAGCTACGCGTGTTGCAGCTCATGTTCTTGAGCCAAAAGCATTATGCCTACTCGGAGCATTCATCCGGGATAGTACCGTACGACCTGGGGACCAGAGTCGTCGGTATGTTCTGCACATGGTCCTTTCATAGCACGTATGTGAGCAATCTGCCGAACGGACAATGCTTCGGTCTCCGTTCACACACTCCCTGTTTGGTGTCTTTGGCTCCGCAGCGATTGACAATGCGTCGAGGTCAGGATTGCAAGACTGCTTCCTGACCCTGACAAAAACGCGATTGAAACAGGTTGTATCTCCGCTGCAATTCAATTGAAACTCGTCAAAATTGTTCCAAAGTAAATGGATGTGACACGGAACATGCGTCAGCGACGGTCCCCTGCAAAATCCAACAGACTTGCGGGATTGTGTCGCTGACGAATGGACGAGATGCATTGAAAAAAGAAAGTGAAGGATAGGGAACAAGCCGCAAATGAAAAATAAGATCTTCAACTTATCACTTCTGCATCAGTATCCCAGTTAGAATCACGAGTGGCTCCGGCATCCAAGGCTTCCTGAAGTAGATCAGCATCTGTAACCAACCAGGCAATTTGCCCTCGCCAAATACTGCACACCCTGTGCACTCTTGCAAAGATGGTGAATGATTTCGCTGCCCCAGTTGCCCATGATCACGCTCCCACTCCACTGTTGACGATTCTTAATGCCCTCTTGAAAGCTTTTGTAAAAGCACAAAGTGCCCGCAATCGAAGCTCAAGTCAAAGACAAGTGCACAAGTTAAAGCAAAAAAAACTCGGGCAAAACTAGTCACGATACAAGCGCGTCAAGGTTTGTCACCCCGCCTTGAGTTATGCTCAAGTTATGCCTGCGGCCTACATGGCCTTAGCACTTTCGCCAAAGCTGCCTACGAAAATCCCACATGCAGCTCTAGCTGGGAGCACATGGTCTTTAGAAGTAGGACTTGTTGTTGACAAAGCAACTAAACAGCTGACCACCCAAGTTTCACATTGTTCAGTTTTGCTGTTTTTTGGATCTTATGAAAAGCAGTTTTATTGCATGTTTCGCGCTTTTTCATGCTGAAATGCAAGGCAAACTTTTACATTACGGTTCAGATGGAGGAGTCTGTCATCTGTCATCGGTCATTTCGTGGAGTGGTTACTGCCTCTTTGCAACATCTTTTTTTGTCGAAGAGAGCAGCAGGATAGTGTGAAATATGTCTCGGCGACTGTTCCAACGACTACATGACTGTTTGGCGAGGGCGCGGCGTGCCGGTGGTAACTGGCAAATGAACATACTGTGATTGATTTGGTGTCGTGCGTTGAACGGGTCCGTGTCGCGGTACACCTTTGAAACTCATGAGAGGAGGGGGTACTAGTTGCACTAAAGGATGGGCTTTGCGACCTGCCGGTCGTTTTTTGGATTGCACAAACCTTCGGTGCTTAGGAGGTGGGTCGTGCGAGCGTGTCTTCTGCCGGTTTTTATTCTTGTGCTTTTTTTCGGTCAAGCGCAGCCAATCCCACCAGGTTGAAAAGAGAAAGGCGGTCATTTTGTCAGACATGCCCTTGTAGTCGCATGTCTGTCACATTAACGCTGCATATATGTATAAAGACAAATAAATGCACAGCCCAATGCCCAAAAGCTGATATGTTTCATCCTCCAGCCAAGAAAACCTTTTTGTCCGGTAGTTCTACAACATGAGCGTTCTACCAAAGTTACATCGAAAATTCAGATGCTCGTGTCCAAAATGTTTCAAACTGTAAACTTCGAAAGGAATTGAATCCAGCCTTCATTCATCACTGCAAGTCGAAACCTTTGTGCATGGCATTTTGTCCCAGGCTCACAGACTGCATTCCTCTTGGGGGATTCACTGTTGGCATGAATATCAGAAGCTTATATATTTTCACGATTATTGAGATGCCTTCGAGTTAAATCCCAGGTCAGAGAACAGGAAACCTGAAGGCCCATCAACGGCCTGCAGCTGAAGCCCCCCGATCCTGAAGATCCTGAAGCCTACGCCTGAAGCTTAAAGAAGCCTGAGCCTTGAATCTCAGTCTTACTTCTCGCGCTGCACACGCTGACCTGCACCTTTCACCCCTGATTCCCTCGCCAAAGTTGCCAACTAGTTGGACCCCATGGATCTTCGGGATGCCCTCGCTGATGTTTGGTCCTAAGACGCCGGCATCTTCCACTACTTCAATTCTTGCACGTTTGAATGGTTTCAGGTCCGCCACCTCCTTGCCCCTCGGCTGACACTGAAGCGCTGAGTGGGGGCCGAGGAAGAGGCAGACTTGTTTTTGCACTGAGGTCCAGGCCGCTCAACATGGGCAGCTGGACGAGGCGGAGTTCCTCAACCCACTTGGGCACACAGGGGACCCTAATCTGGCACCCTAAATCGTAAGGTCCTGATTTTTGAGGGCCCCAAAATAAGAACTTCAAGAGCTAAACCTCTAGAGCTGCTTGGCCCAGAGAGAGCAGACATGGAAACCAGAATTACTTGTAAGGCACTTCGACTGAACATCAGTCCTCCGAGTTCCGATGTACGACAACTCCCCAAAAGGTTTATGATCACCCTGCAAACGCTGAGTTGAATCCCTGAGCCTGTCGTGTCCCATTCGGTCCAGTGACCCGGCCAAGAGATCCGAAATGACATGGTCCGTCGGGGATGGATGAGCAGGGGCTGCACACATGGAAAGGTCCTGCAACACAGGTCTTGTGGATGATCCTTCAGTTTCTGTGGCAGGGTAGCAGTATCACACGCTGCCGCGTTTGCGATCTTTCTGGGCCCGTTTGCATGAGAAAGCATCAGATCATCCAGCATCCGTGACAGCTTTCAGAACTGCTGGACTAGCATCAAGACAGAGTGACATGTAGAAGGATTCAGGGGTAACTTCTGAAAGTGAGCACCAAGTCACCGAAGAACAGCACGAACATCCTCCATCGCCACCTCTGGGGTTTACCTCAGCAGGTCTGAGAGGAAAGTTATCCAAGTCGTCCAGCATCGGCGGTTGTCGGCAGCATGACTTGTTGACATTTCGCGAGGAGTAAGCTTTGCAGTAGGCCCGAGATATATCTCTTACCCTTATGATTAATCATCAATAGAACAATACATTTATTATGCCCCCCAAAGACTGAAAACTTGCCGACGGAATCACGTAGAGCCCACCTAGGAGCAGAAGGCTTTAGGGCTCAGGAAGCAGGAGCCACTTGTGAGCCAAGGATCCAGGTCCCAAACCACCCTGAAGTGCGGCCTACTCCCTCATCCCCCCGAACCCCCTTATCCCTAGAGCGTAAACCCTTTACAGAGCAAATGCGCAGGTGGTCTCGGCTTTGCAACCTGGTGCCTTGGCTGGAGCCTATGAAGGCGCTGTAGAGTGTATCCCCAGACCTAACAAGACCTACAGTAAGCTCTCAAGCCCGAAGACCCAAGCGGTATTGAAGCACTGGGGTTGAACGTCGGCTTGGATATGAAGCGCCGTTTGTTGGGTTGTTGCCGGAGCCAGTTCAGTAGAGTTGGCCCTTTTTTACATTGGACAGTCGCACACCCTGCACTGCGGGGCTGGCAAGGTTCTTCATGTCAGTTCTCACTTGAAGGCATCAGTCGAGACTGTACCTCCACTCAAGACCCGAAGTCTGTCAAGCGATCTGAGGTGAAAGCTTCCAATGACTTGCATAGATCCCGTTCATCAACTGATTCCGCTAAAGGCCTCTTTTCAATCATAGTTGGTGAACTCGAATCATATCTCAGGCCCCATCCTGCAAGCATCAATTTGCTGGAAACGTCTCTCCTTAGATACGGTGGTTCGTTCTGAAGCAGTATGGTGAGCATATGCTTGGCCCTAAAAGTGGCAGCAGTTCCAAATGTCGTGGAACTTGATCCACGAATTTTTGAAGACATTTCGTTGGACAAAGTTGTATTGTCAGTTCAGTCCGGATAAGAATAGATAGATGCAGATGCAAAACATTCATTTTTCGTTCTTGTTTTTCTCAGTATTCAGGCGTATGTATGTATGTATGTATGTATGTATGTATGTATGTATGTGTGTGTGTATGTATGTATGTACAGCTATAAGTCTATCTGGCCCACGATTTCTGAAGCTCGCAAGCCACTCACAGTTGTTGTTGGCAGCAATGTTTCACGACGCAATGTTGCGCAGGCTGCGACCGCTTGCAGGGCTTTCAGCTCTGCCACTCCGCTGTTAAAGGCCCCGGTGACTTGAACCGCTTGGTCTCTGCTGCTATGACTGGTGTGACCCGCTGCTTGGGCTTCTCCTGTCAGCCGCTAGGTTGCCCAGCAGAATTTTCTTTTGCACTCCAGAGCTCTGAGTTGTGTCTGTGTCTTTGTCTGTGTGTGTGTGTGTGTGTTCCGCAGTAGTTCTCTAACCTCAACAGCAGCTTTTCACGGCAGAGTTGTTTCCGAAGCCAAGGCTGAAAAGCGACCGTCTGAAGATCGATGAGATCGACGTGAACCTGCTCCCTTCTCTTGTGTCCTGAACCGAATTGTTCAAAGTCGATCTTTGCGAGCAGCCGAAATTCGAAGCATGTCCCGCGTGACAGCCTCCTCCCATCCACTATACTTGGATGCCTCTCTAAGGCCTGCAATTCTTCATGACAGGCTTTGTGCTGTTGAACCGGGCCCTCACCGTCATTGGGACAAAGAATCCATGTAGTTGCGCTTGGCATTTGGCGCTTGGTATGGTGCATCAGTTCGCAACATCCTGCTCGTACGAAGAAGATGGGTTCAGGTTCAGACATTCATTTTGGTTCACAGTTGAATGGTTTCAGGTCCCTCTGCTCCTTGTCCCTCGGCGGACACTGAAGCGCTGGGTGCAGGCCGAGGAAGAGGCAGTTAACCCACTTGGGAGTCTCCGCACATAGGGGACCCTAATAGAACGCCCTAAATCGTAGGGTCCTGATTTGTGAGGGCCCCAAAATGAGGTACGACCCTGAACTTCAAGAGCTAAACCTCTAGAGCTGCTTGGCCCGGAGAGGGCAGGCATGGAAACCAGAAATACTTGTAAGGCAATTCGACTGAACATCAGTCCTCCGGAGTTCCGATGGACCACAACTCCCCAAAAGGTTTATGATCACCCTGCAAACGCTGAGTTGAATCCCTGAGCCTGTCGTGTCCCATTCGGTCCAGCGACCCGGCCAAGAGATCCGAAATGATACGGTCGGTCATGGAAAGGTCCTGCAACACAGGTCTTGTGGATGATCCTTCAGTTTCTGTGGCAGGGTAGCAGTATCACACGCTGCCGCGTTTGCGGTCTTTCTGGGACCACTTGCATGAGAAAGCATCAGATCATCCAGCATCCGTGACAGCTTTCAGAACTGCTGGACTAGCATCAAGACAGAGTGACATGTAGAAGGATTCAGGGGTAACTTCTGAAAGTGAGCACCAAGTCACCGAAGAACAGCACGAACATCCTCCATCGCCACCTCTGGGGTTTACCTCAGCAGTTCTGAGAGGAAAGTTATCCAAGTCGTCCAGCATCGGCAGTTTGTCGGCAGCATGACTTGTTGAAATTTCGCGAGAAGTAAGCTTTGCAGTAGGCCTGCTCCATGTACGAGATATATCTCTTACCCTTATGATTAATCATCAATAGAACAATATATTTATTATGTTTCAGTCGGGTGTATGACACCGTCAGAATCGCTTCCACCTTTCGGAAGGCCATGCCCCCCAAAGACTGAAAACTTGCCGACGGAATCACGTAGAGTCCACCTAGGCGCAGAAGGCTTTAGGGCTCAGGAAGCAGGAGCCACTTGTGAGCCAAGGATCCAGGTCCCAAACCACCCTGAAGTGCGGCCTACTCCCTCATCCCCCCGAACCCCCTTATCCCTAGAGCGTAAACCCTTTACAGAGCAAATGGATGCCGTTCTAAACCCCCGCCTCTTGTGGCAAGAGGAGGGCCGGCATTAGGGTTTTGCATGGTAGTTAAAAACCCTCGCGCGCGCAAGCTCGCGCAAGGGCGGGCGCAAGATACATAACATTGTTAGTTATATATGTATAGCTTAAATATTCAATATGTAATATCGTGGCTTTGTGTTGGAGTTTACCCGGTGTGATAATCCTTTATCCCGGTAAAGCTGGACAATGTAAATTAATTGGGTCTAGGCTAGCAGTTGATCCTGCGAGAAGCATGCGCATCTGAAAGCTTGCTTCCCAAACACGCTGCTGCGGGCCCAAGGGGTGGCTGCAAGTGGCGGAAACCTTTGAAACTCCTAGCCATGCCTCGTTTAGTGGCGGATGCCCCAGCCACTGCGCCGCCGTTTGAGTATCCTGTTCCTGAGAAGTGTGTTCCTTGGTTGGCAACAAACCTTGAAGCCAGTTGGATGGACGTTGCATAAATATTGCATATTCATCTGAGGCTGTGGGTTTATGCATGGAGGCGATGCAAAAGCCTTTGTGGGACACACATCATAAGATATGGCGGGCAAGGCTGGTTGCTGCAGCTAAGCCAGCTAAAAGCTGTTTTATGCTTGGAAGCACAAGCGTAGGTTTGAGCTGCTGTTCCTGTTGCAGGTGTGGCATGACCACCATTGCAGCTTCGGGCAGCGCCCGGAAATCCAACCACGAAATGTGGACGTACCTTGGTACCTGTCGCTGTTTTCAGCTTGTTGCCGCCAACTTGCATTCGCCTTTCATGTGCGATGAGGCCGGGGAAATCGATTCCTTGGATGAAATCCTCAGCCCCGCCTACTGCTAAACAAGTGGAAGCTGCCAAAGCTCGAATGGAGGCAACTTTGAATGCGTATGTTGACTTGGCATTGGGTGTATAATGGGTTAAGCTGTTGCCGCCGTGCCAGGGCGAAAAGAACGACGACTTGATCGCAGAAACTCCCACGAGGAAGAAACGGAAGATGGAGAGGGACGGGGCGATGACTCCTCCCAAAGAGGATGCCGCTTGATCTTGGTCAGTGAAGAACTGGTTTTCAACTGGTTGGAGCCTGGCTGAATCTATCAACTAAGGCACCCGGGCCTCTGACGGAGTTGCCGAGCAGCAGCGATGCTCCGGTGCTTCATTCGCAAGTGTGCAGCGGTTTCCGATTTAGGATATAAAGTCACAAAAGCTTTACGCTGCTCAGCGGAGGCACGCGGGCCTGTCGCGGAGTTGGCCATCAGCGGCGATGCTCCGGCGCTTGGGTTGCACAGGTGCAGCGGATCAGGGTCTACTTTGGACGTTGGGCTTTTAACAAGATGTGATGGCAGTAATTATCTGCGCAGCCGAGGAGTGCGGGCAAGGGGCGGAGATGGGGAACAGTGGCGATGCTCCGGCGCTTGGTTTGCAAAGGGCCGTGGTTTAAGGTGTTTGCGTGAACGTCCCTAGGATTGTTCACAGGCAGAGGGTAGACATGAGCTCCATGACAAATCCTAGGCTGATGCCGCGTCTTCGGCGCCCGACGAGAAGCTGGCAAATCTCCTTGGGGACGATGTCCACGGCTTACGTGCTAACAACAACAAAATGTCCTTGATCTGCTTCGGTCTCTTTTCTCTGCTCAGGTGAGCATTCGGTTGAAGGGCCGAGCCAATTTGGGTGGAAAGGTGAAGCGGCTTCCTGCTTGCCCAGTATGTGACTTCCCGCGAACACCTGATTTTCATGGAAACATTTGTTCCGAATGTGAGCGCAATATGCGTGCTCGTGGGCGACGTTCCTGGCTTCGGCTTACTCCGGAGGAGAAGCGTGACATCGCAGCCCAATCCGTAGCCCAGAGGGCTGCGGTTCTGAGCAAGTCAGATCGTAAGAGGTCAGCTCGCATTGCCGAAGTTGTTTTCCAGATGCTGCAGGAGGGCCGTTCATAGGCTTTCATGTGTATCCATGCACACAGAGCGACGATGGTGGGGTCACGTCGCGGAAAATATGTTTGAATGCTCCCAGCTTTCAGGTTGCACGCACTCCATCGTCACCGGTGCTGCTTTGGACAGTTTGCCTGAGATCCCACATGTCTTCAACCACTCCTTTAAAGCCCAAACCTCGTGTTCATAGTCCTGCTGTGTGTGAGAATGTCAAAGAACCTGTTGCGTGTGAGCATGTCAAACAGCCGCTTCGTTGTGAGGCCAATCATCCACCACCACTACCACTACCGCCTCCGAGCGATCCGCCTGCTGCGAGACGTCGGGTCTCATTCAGCTCGAGAACCTGGGTTTGTTTTTGGGGGTGGGGTCCCAAAATCGCCAAAATCCAAATCAATACATTCCAAAAACGATTGGGGGCCCTCTAAGTCCCCGTAACAAAATGGGGTTGTTTCGTTCTTGAGCGCCCCCAAGTCCCCGTAACAAAATGGCGCTTTTTGCTTTACAACCACCTCCGAAATTCCCCGTAACAAAATGGCGCTGCTTTGTTCTTGAGACCCCCAAGTCCCGCTAACAAATTGGGGCTGTTTTGTTCTTGAGCGCCCCCATGCAAGTCCCCGTAACAAAATGGCGCTGTTTCGTTCTTGAGACCCCCAAGTCCCGCTAACAAAATGGGGCTGTTTTGTTCTTGAGACCCCCAAGTCCCGCTAACAAAATGGGGCTGTTTTGTTCTTGGGCGCCCCAAAGTCCCCGAAACAAAATGGCGCTGTTTCGTTCTTGAGACCCCCAAGTCCCGCTAACAAAATGGGGCTGTTTTGTTCTTGGGCGTCTCCAAGTCACCGTAACAAAATGGCTTTTCTTTCTTCAGGCACCCCAAAGTCTCCGTAACAAAATGGCGCTGTTTCGTTCTTGAGACCCCCAAGTCCCGCTAACAAAATGGGGTTTTTTATTTCTTGAGGCGCCCCCAAGTCCCCGTAACAAAATGGCGCTGTTTCGTTCTTGAGACCCCAAAGTCCCCGAAACAAAATGGGGCTGTTTTGTTCTTGAGACCCCCAAGTCCCGCTAACAAAATGGGGCTGTTTTGTTCTTGAGCGCCCCAAAGTCCCCGAAACAAAATGGCGCTGTTTCGTTCTTGAGACCCCCATGTCCCGCTAACAAAATGGGGTTGTTTTGTTCTTGGGCGTCTCCAAGTCACCGTAACAAAATGGCTTTTCTTTCTTCAGCCACCCCAAAGTCCCCGTAACAAAATGGCGCTGTTTCGTTCTTGAGACCCCCAAGTCCCGCTAACAAAATGGGGCTCTTTTTTTCTTGAGGCGCCCCCAAGTCCCCGTAACAAAATGGCGCTTTGCCTGCTCTCTAGACTCTGTACGCCTGGTGCTTTGTTTCCTGCACGAGAAAGAAGTAGATGGAGGAACGAATCGCTGAGTAGCCTACTTACTATGGCCCTTCTCGTGCCGACGATGTAGGTCGCAGGAGCTCTTTAGAATTCCAGGCTTCTGAGCTTGTTCAGTTTGAAAGCTGTGCCGATTGAGAGGTCTGGCGATTATAACAGAGGGTTTGTTCAGGATGAGAATCCCCAACCAATAGCATCTGCGCCCCCAAAAGCCACACACAAGCTTCAAGCCCCAACTCGAAAAGCCTCCCCCTAAGCCTTCCTGAAGGTCCCCCAGTCCCCATCGACTTGCTGCGCGTAAAACTGTGGGGTTGACTGCTGTTCAGCGCTCAAGCTCCGCGCAAGAAACGCGCAAGCTTGGCGCAAGAAGAGGTGGGCCATGCCAGCTGATGGTCCTTCCTCGGGTTTTGGTGAGGAACTTCGTCGGTGGGCGGCGAAAGGATTCCCCGGCGAATCTAGCAAGAGCGAATCTAGCAAGAAACGCAAAGCCATCGACACTAGTGACGAGTTGGTTCTGACAGGAAACGAGAAGCGCGATCTTTGGAGTCAAGTTCGAGATGCTACGGTGAAGCTCTTGGGGCCGGCGCTGGAGGAGCTGGCCATCGACCAGCTGGGCGAGGGCGTGGCCAGCAAAAGGAAACAGCAATGGAAGAAGGACACGGCAGTCAAGTTCTTCAAGCAGCTGCCGGCTCGGCAACAAGATGCAATAACGCCTCTTGCAGAGTCCTGCCGCACGGGCCGACGCACGAGTCCCGTGCATCGTCAGCTGAAGTTGCCTGAAGCCGAAGAGGCAGTTCCTGAACCGCCTGCGCCTGCTGAGCCGCAAGTCCAGGCGGACCCCCAGTCCAGTGCAGCATCTTCAAGCCGGAGGAAAACCTTCAGCGACATGAAGCCTGACAGCAGACGGAAGGCAACCATTGACCTTGCGAAGCGTGTTTTAGACTTGTCGTCTACGCCGCACGAGGCCCAGACAGTTCTTCAGCGAGTTCAGCAACGAGCAGACACACACTTCGGGCAAGACAGCTCCAGCGTGCGTGAGGATCATTCCGCCGCACTGGCAAAGGCATTGCAGCGTGTTCGTGAAGCACTTGCTGCATCGGGAGATGCAAAGTGGGTGTGCCGCTTGGACAAGGAGGGTTGCGTGAGGGAATGTGAGGGAGCATGGTATTGTAAAGCCCAACCATAGCTTTGGATTTGTCAGGTAAATGAAGTTCTAGGGAGCTCTCCGTTTGCTTAGTGGCTGCGGACAGAATCCGTCCGCAGGATCTCGGAGCCCCCCAAACCCTGCTGATGCTCATGATGCTGTAAGGTTTAGGACCTGTAAAAACCATAGGTCATAGGTCCTAGGATGTTGATTCGATGATATTTTCTTTCGAAAGGCCGAAATGGCTTGTTGCGGCATGCCCTGCAGGAAGTTCGTGCCACTGGTTTGTCCAGAGCGTGCCTTCGGTCAATGGGTTTGGAAATAGGTGAAAAAGCATGGCGGAGAGCTGGTGCTGAAGAAACCATCGAAAGACGACGTGTAGGCCGTCCGTCGAAGGTGAACAACTCGGAGTTGATTGCAGAGGTCGTCCGTGTGGTGGAAGAAAACTCTCAGGCTACCTCAATCTGGTTGCCTCGACAAGAAACAACAGCAAGGGCTTTGACTGACTCCACAACGTCTATCTACCTGAACTCTGGCCTGATGGAGCGAGTCGCTTGGAAACAGTTCTGGCAAATCATGAAGACCAACTGCAGATGGGCGATCAAGCCGCGCAGAGGAAGTGACTTCTGCGACCACTGCGAACTCTGGCGCACCACAATAGTTCCTGGGATTGGGCGAACCATTGCCAGCGCCAGAAAGCGAGTCGAGGAAATTCTACCCGCCTACTTCGATGCGTTTGACAAGAAAGCACCGCCGCTCACCGAAACACCTGTGGAGCATCTTGACGCATTCTACAAGTACATGTTCAATCATGACGTTCGCCAGAAGGAGTTGCGTGCATCCAGCCTGTCCGGCGCAGACTGCGTTTCCTTGCATGCTGCGGAGGCGCGAATTTGCCATTTCCTCAGGCACGAGCTTCATGTCGCCAGGTCATATAGCTGGCACAAGAAGTCCGCAGCACGGCAGGCACAGGCTTGCTTGGACCAGAAGAGATCTCTCGGACCCAATGAGATCTTGATATGGGCTGACTACAAGCAAAAGATATCAGTTCCTCTTGCCAACCGTGCAACGGGCTCGATGTTTTACGGCACAGACCGCCAAGAAGCCACCGTTTTCGGGGTCGTGGTCGTGCAGAACATCAATGGGCAGCGGAGGCAGCGCAACATATTTAATTTGTCAAGCATCATAGAAAACACTGCTCTCATGACCGCGATGCTTCTTGATGACCTTCGAGGCCGCTTGGAGGGGCTGGCAAGCTCCAATGCCATTACCTGCTGGTTTGATGTTGGTCCCCACTTTAGAGCTTACGATCTGGTAGCGCACTTGAGTAAGACATGGTTCCCTGCCATGCCAGCAGGCGGCAAACTCAGACTATCCTGGTTTGCAGAGCACCACGGGAAGGGCGAAGTAGACTCCATGTTTGGTGTCTTTTCGCATTGGATCCAGCGCCATCTCGCCAAACCTGACGTTGTCATCCCTTCCTTGGATGAGCTCATGAAGGTGGTCGCGGCTGCTGCCGAGCAGGCGAAGACTTTGGAACCTCCTGAGCAAGGTGGGGTAGACTGGCAAGTTTTGCGCTTTGAACAGGACCGCAAGCCAGCCCAAGTCTGGACCATGGAGCAGTGCGATTTTCAAATCTCCAAGACATATTGTGTGCAGCTCGAAGAGATGTTTGCTGCCGGCAACCGCCAACATGTGCACTTCCGCAACCTCTTCTTCTCAGACCTCAGCAGCGGGGAGGCTCTGACGGCGTCCGTCAGACAGACAGCGTTGGCAGCTGCAGCTGGGCTGACAACAGCACCTTCATCCTTTGTCATGCGCTCTTACCAAATTGCTGTGTATTGACACTAACATGAAGCTATATTGAGACTATAGGTTCCTTCGTACTGGCTTCTAAACCCTATACACTGCACCTTATAAACCCTACACCCTAAAAACCCTGAGGAACCCAGACAAGCCAAGGAGAGCAGAGCTTGGAAACGTGGGTATTTCAAGACGAAGCGATGGGTGCGGTCGCCGCCTCCTCCGGGCGAGAAAGACGGAACGGTGCGCAAGTACGAATTCCACGTGGAAAAGCAGGTTTCGGGGCCTGTGGTTTCTGCCACTGCAGCCAGCTCGTGGGAGAAAGCACAGGCGTCGAGGGCAAGGCGGTTGCTCATGCGGCGGCAGAAGTTCCATCGCATGCGAGAGGCGCAGCGGACAGCTGCAGTAGACGCATCCTCCTCCTCCTCCTCATCGTCCTCCTCTTCCTCCGATAGCAGCAGTGACAGCGAGTCGTGAGCAAAATCAGTCCAGAGCCCCCGCCGTTCTAATCGATGCTGGCGAGTCATTGGGACGTGTGGTAAGCACATACCTACGACCCCCTACCTATAACCCCTAGAAGCCAAAACAATACAGTAGTCCCAAATATCCTGTTCGGGCAAACTTAGCCTATGTCCTAAATCTCACTGACCCTGCAAACGGAAGAGCTTGAAAGTGATCTGGATTCCCACCTCATATTGTGCCCTGCTCGTGTTGCAGGCATAGGCAGACCGTTTCGGAATTTGGATTTTCTGTTTCTTGGACTTAGATTTCGGGATGTTGAGGTCAATTCAACCGTCAAGCACGAACTGGTTAAAATAACGCTTTAGCTTGGGGCGTTTTTGAAGGGGTTATGTTGGCATGAGTGAAAACCCTCGCGCGCGCAAGACGGCGCAAGGGCGGGCGCAAGCTCTGTCCTAATGCTGAAGCATGGCTCCTTTAATTTAGAACAACATCCAAATGCGCAGGTGGTCTCGGCTTTGCAACCTGGTGCCTTGGCTGGAGCCTATGAAGGCGCTGTAGAGTGTATCCCCAGACCTAACAAGACCTACAGTAAGCTCTCAAGCCCGAAGACCCAAGCGGTATTGAAGCACTGGGGTTGAACGTCGGCTTGGATATGAAGCGCCGTTTGTTGGGTTGTTGCCGGAGCCAGTTCAGTAGAGTTGGCCCTTTTTTACATTGGACAGTCGCACACCCTGCACTGCGGGGCTGGCAAGGTTCTTCATGTCAGTTCTCACTTGAAGGCATCAGTCGAGACTGTACCTCCACTCAAGACCCGAAGTCTGTCAAGCGATCTGAGGTGAAAGCTTCCAATGACTTGCATAGATCCCGTTCATCAACTGATTCCGCTAAAGGCCTCTTTTCAATCATAGTTGGTGAACTCGAATCATATCTCAGGCCCCATCCTGCAAGCATCAATTTGCTGGAAACGTCTCTCCTTAGATACGGTGGTTCGTTCTGAAGCAGTATGGTGAGCATATGCTTGGCCCTAAAAGTGGCAGCAGTTCCAAATGTCGTGGAACTTGATCCACGAATTTTTGAAGACATTTCGTTGGACAAAGTTGTATTGTCAGTTCAGTCCGGATAAGAATAGATAGATGCAGATGCAAAACATTCATTTTTCGTTCTTGTTTTTCTCAGTATTCAGGCGTATGTATGTATGTATGTATGTATGTATGTATGTGTGTGTGTATGTATGTATGTATGTATGTACAGCTATAAGTCTATCTGGCCCACGATTTCTGAAGCTCGCAAGCCACTCACAGTTGTTGTTTGTAGCAATGTTTCACGACGCAATGTTGCGCAGGCTGCGACCGCTTGCAGGGCTTTCAGCTCTGCCACTCCGCTGTTAAAGCCCCCGGTGACTTGAACCGCTTGGTCTCTGCTGCTATGACTGGTGTGACCCGCTGCTTGGGCTTCGCCTGTCAGCCGCTAGGTTGCCCAGCAGAATTTTCTTTTGCACTCCAGGTTTGGAGTCTGAGCTCTGAGTTGTGTCTGTGTCTTTGTGTGTGTGTGTGTGTGTGTGTGTTCCGCAGTAGTTCTCTAACCTCAACAGCAGCTTTTCACGGCAGAGTTGTTTCCGAAGCCAAGGCTGAAAAGCGACCGTCTGAAGATCGATGAGATCGACGTGAACCTGCTGCCCTTCTCTTGTGTCCTGAACCGAATTGTTCAAAGTCGATCTTTGCGAGCAGCCGAAATTCGAAGCATGTCCCGCCTGACAGCCTCCTCCCATCCACTATACTCGGAACTGGATGCCTCTCTAAGGCCTGCAATTCTTCATGACAGGCTTTGTGCCGTTGAATCGGGCCTTCACCGTCACTGGGACAAAGAATCCATGTAGTTGCGCTTGGCATTTGGCGCTTGGTATGGTGCATCAGTTCACAACATCCTGCTCGTACGAAGAAGATGGGTTCAGGTTCAGACATTCATTTTGGTTCACAGTTGAATGATTTCAGGTCCCTCTGCTCCTTGTCCCTCGGCGGACACTGAAGCGCTGAGTGCAGGCCGAGGATGAGGCAGATTTGTTTTTGCACTCAGGTCCAGGCCGCTCAACATGGGCAGCTGGACGAGGCGGAGTTAACCCACTTGGGAGTCTCCGCACATCGGGGACCCTAATAAAGCGCCCTACATCGTAGGGTCCTGATTCTTGAGGGCCCCAAAATGAGGTACGACCCTGAACTTCAAGAGCTAAACCTTTGGAGCTGCTTGGCCCGGAGAGGGCAGACATGGAAACCAGAAAGACTTGTAAGGCAATTCGACTAAACATCAGTCCTCCTGAGTTCCGATGGACGACAACTCCCCAAAAGGTTTATGATCACCCTGCAAACGCTGAGTTGAATCCCTGAGCCTGTCGTGTCCCATTCGGTCCAGCGACCCGGCCAAGAGATCCGAAATGATACGGTCGGTCATGGAAAGGTCCTGCAACACAGGTCTTGTGGATGATCCTTCAGTTTCTGTGGCAGGGTAGCAGTATCACACGCTGCCGCGTTTGCGGTCTTTCTGGGACCACTTGCATGAGAAAGCATCAGATCATCCAGCATCCGTGACAGCTTTCAGAACTGCTGGACTAGCATCAAGACAGAGTGACATGTAGAAGGATTCAGGGGTAACTTCTGAAAGTGAGCACCAAGTCACCGAAGAACAGCACGAACATCCTCCATCGCCACCTCTGGGGTTTACCTCAGCAGTTCTGAGAGGAAAGTTATCCAAGTCGTCCAGCATCGGCAGTTTGTCGGCAGCATGACTTGTTGAAATTTCGCGAGAAGTAAGCTTTGCAGTAGGCCTGCTCCATGTACGAGATATATCTCTTACCCTTATGATTAATCATCAATAGAACAATATATTTATTATGTTTCAGTCGGGTGTATGACACCGTCAGAATCGCTTCCACCTTTCGGAAGGCCATGCCCCCCAAAGACTGAAAACTTGCCGACGGAATCACGTAGAGTCCACCTAGGCGCAGAAGGCTTTAGGGCTCAGGAAGCAGGAGCCACTTGTGAGCCAAGGATCCAGGTCCCAAACCACCCTGAAGTGCGGCCTACTCCCTCATCCCCCCGAACCCCCTTATCCCTAGAGCGTAAATCCTTTACAGAGCAAATGCGCAGGTGGTCTCGGCTTTGCAACCTGGTGCCTTGGCTGGAGCCTATGAAGGCGCTGTAGAGTGTATCCCCAGACCTAACAAGACCTACAGTAAGCTCTCAAGCCCGAAGACCCAAGCGGTATTGAAGCACTGGGGTTGAACGTCGGCTTGGATATGAAGCGCCGTTTGTTGGGTTGTTGCCGGAGCCAGTTCAGTAGAGTTGGCCCTTTTTTACATTGGACAGTCGCACACCCTGCACTGCGGGGCTGGCAAGGTTCTTCATGTCAGTTCTCACTTGAAGGCATCAGTCGAGACTGTACCTCCACTCAAGACCCGAAGTCTGTCAAGCGGTCTGAGGTGAAAGCTTCCAATGACTTGCATAGATCCCGTTCATCAACTGATTCCGCTAAAGGCCTCTTTTCAATCACAGTCGGGGAACTCGAATCATATCTCAGGCCCCATCCTGCAAGCATCAATGTGCTGGAAACGTCTCTCCTTAGATACGGTGGTTCGTTCTGAAGCAGTATAGTGAGCATATGCTTGTCCCTAAAGTATCTAAAGTGGCAGCAGTTTCAACTGTCGTGGAACTTGATCTACGAATACTTGAAGACATATCGTTGGACAAAGTTGTATTGTCTGGATAAAATTAGATAAATGCAGATGCAAAACATTTTGCGTTCTTGTTTTGCTCAGTATTCAGGCGTATACATGTCTGTATGTATTAAGTCTATCTGGCCCATGGTTTCTTAAGCTCGCAAGCCACTCACAGTTGTTTGTAGCAATGTTTCACTACGCAAACTCCGCTGTTAAAGGCCCCGGTGCTGGAATGGAGACTCGTTGGCTGATTCCGGACGGCCTGCGAGTGCCGCAGGCCATCAAGCCCTAAACATGTGGCAGCGAGTACATTCGGCTTTGGCTGCAAACATGACTGACGGCTCCGTGTGTTATTTCCCTTCGAGCTTATGCTTTTGCCACAGGAAACACCAAGCATCACAGACCCTAACCCGAACCGAAAAGAAGGTTGGTTGTTTCATAGTACTGGGGTTTGCCACGCGCAAAAAGTCGAAGCTTTCTGAGGCATCTCGGGTCACCTACAGTCCAGCTTTTTGAAATTCGAAGGCAGTGCCAGGATAATGTTCGGGTTATGACTCCGCCGGCGGTTGACAGATGGTTGGTCTTGGATGGTGGTGGCTGTTCGGCATCAGGGGCTCTTAAACGACCTGTTGTGTGGTACATGATGTTGCGGGATGTTGTCGAACTTTGCCGCGAGGTCGACATGAAGATATGCCCCACTCCTGACAGAACGGACAGACGCGTCACTCGGCTTCCATAGCCAAGGCATTTGCAGACCTTTGGAAAGGGTTTACCGATGCGCCGGAGCTGTTGCAGCATGTGGGTGGTTGGCAAAATTATGGTCTTTTTTTGGGGTACCCTAAATATTAGGTGCCGTACCAGAATAGGGACCCAAAAAGGAACCATAATTTTGACAACCACCCATGTGTTTTGTTGGATCCGGGCCCTCCGGGTCAAGATCTCGGCTCTCGGGTTAAGGCTTCGCAGGATTTCTGGATTGGCAAGGTTCGGATTTGGGTCAAAAAGACACAAGTTCACACAAGACAGGTTCACTACGACGGGAGACATGATTGATCAGGGCTGCGAAGTTTGCTTCTGTAGCGAGCAGGATTTTCTTGGGCTCATCCGCATGCGCTGCATTGAAAGGTCAGGCGGCCACCGCCGGCCTTGTGCCGGCAGCTGCAGGCGGCCAAACACAACAAAATGGCACCTTAGTTGCAAGTCAGGAACTTAAGCATGGTGCAGCTTATTCATTGTTTGTAATGGGAGCGGGGCCCCGGAGTCAGGCCTAAGTGATATGCAGCTGATTTTTATTGACTTTCGATCCTCTCTTCCGGGGCCTGATGCCACAGTTGACCATTACCACGATCGCGACGACCGTTTCCATTATCACTACTACACTCATGGGTGCCATGATTATGGATTGGAAATACCTGCATTGAAAGGTCACGCGGCCAGCGTCGGCCTTCTGCCGGCAGTTACAGGCGGCCAAACACAACAAAATGGCACCTTAGTTGCAAGTCAGGAACTTAAGCATGGTGCAGCTTATTCATTGTTTGTAATGGGAGCGAGGCCCCGGAGTCAGGCCTAAGTGATATGCAGCTGATTTTTATTGATTTTCGATCCTCGCTTCCGGGGCCCTGATGCAACTGTTGACCATTACCACGATCGTGACGACCGTTTCCATTATCAGTACCACACTACTGGGTGCCATGTTTATGGATTGGAAATACCTGCTGCGACGAAAAGACGACCACTTCCGCAGGGTTGCGATGGACTGAATCAACATCGACAGCAGGTGAAAGTCTTGCTCCAGCCCTACCGAGCTGTATGGCCCGTGATGTAGAAAGAGCTCAGCCGGCCGAACGAGTGCTGCCACCACGAAGAACTCTGCGTGGTATCGCGCCAACGCAAGTTTTACACATCCGAGGTACCCGGCGATGGAAACCTCGGAGGTCTCCGACACGCTGGTAAAGCCATACAACGCTGTCGTCCTGCTGCTTCTGCTGCCCAGCTTTTGCTCGACCTCGTCTGCAAAGGCACAGGGGCATCGAGGGGTCGAGGCTGAAAGTCCCAAGTTTCGAGTCTGAGGCTTCGGTCGGACACCAGACGTTCGGGGTGTGGGCAACAGCGGTCTTGCAAACGTCGAGGATACTGCAGTGAACGCTGACAGCTGGCATTGTGGAATGTTGAAGCCATGTACCCGGATCAGCTCAAGCTTGGAATTCCCACTTGTGTATTCCTCAAGTCCTGAACGTAGACCTTGCGCGAGGCAACAAACCTTCACAGCATTTCACAGCTGTTCACCCTTTAATCACTCAGCCGCGAAGTGCCCACGTCTCAAGGTCCCAAGCGCCCGAGAACCTATTGGCACCTGCACGCGGTGAGCGGGAAAACTAGCACGAAACATGTGGTGCTTCCGCTCGGTACCGGAGTCGCAGGACCAAGGATTGAGGCACACCAACCCGAACCAGTTTACGGCTTCGAAACGCATTGAAATAGAAAGGACTTTGGGAAACGACACAGGTCTGGTTGCCCAGGCGGAGGAGTTCGCCATGCTCAGCCGTGAGGCGCGCCTCTCGCATTGTGCCTCTGTTCGTATCTTGTGGCCTCGAGACTCTGTCCTCGTTGTGTCTTCATGTCTGTGTCGTGTGCTTGAGCTCACGTCGTGACCTTCTCAGGTCTCGTTTCTCTGGCATATCTTGTTTTCGTGCCATCTGTGCATGTTTTTGCATCCTCCCGTCTCCCGTCTTGGATTTTTACGTGTCTGTTCTGCTGTGCTCTTGTTCTCGTGCTGAAACTGCGCGTCATGTTTTCGTGTCTCGCATCTTCCGCCCCGGTGGAGAGTATCGAGTCATGTAGTGTGTCAGTGATGCCGTGCCGTGTCTTCGCATCCAGTCTCATGTGACACGTTCCTAGTGTTATTGTGTTGCTTGTTTTTGCTTTGTGTTTTCGTGTCGCATGCTTGTATTGTTTCTTTGTTTCGAGTCCTCGTGCAAACTAGATTCACTAGATACAGCTTGCATGGGGAAGAACTTGTGGCAAGGGTTGGTCAGGCTTGTGTGGTCAGGTTTGTCTGGCTTTGACATGAAGTTCAGAGTCCAATTTAGGCGTTGGCACATTGCAGGCATTAGGGCGAGAGGTACTTTGCACACTGTACCTATCGAGAAGATAACTTAATGCATATGTTTCCATGCTAAGCTTCCGTCCGGCGTGCCTCACGCCGCATGCCTTGTCGGAGAAGTCCCCCAAGACTACAAGCATGAATCACTTCAAAACCTACACATGCCTTCCAGAAACTTGTATCCATTAAATACATTCCGAACATGTCTCGTTTCACCCGAGCTCCGAACAATACACAGAGCTTGCCAAGCACCTGGGCAGGGCTCTGGTGTGGCGGCAGAAGACCACACGTGGGCCAAGGCTTGCCGCGCAGAGGGTTCCTGAACAGGTTTCGGCGTAGGTGGTCGAAGTTCATCGTCTAACGCAGTTTGAGCAGTCCGGCGAGATCAGGGTTCGAGAAAGGTCATGCAATATCTTGGTTAATCGGTTAATCTTGGTTATAGATCGGTCCCCAAATCCGACCATGGCTACAGCCTTGTTCCTTTTTGTGAGGAGGAGGAGGAGGAGGTTTAGGGGTTTGCGCTCAGGATGATTGAAAACTAACCAGAAAACCCGAAATCGCAGCCCGTCCAAACCTGGAGCCTTAGAGCTGTACAGCCCACGGCTGCCTGCTTCATGTCAGCCGCCAGTCATTTTTACGTGAACCGCACAGGCTCCAGATTCTGGCACCTCAATCCGCAACCGCATTCTGAATCCTGAACCGTACGAGAAACCCTAAGTCCCCAACTTCGCACCCAAACCAGCCTGCCAACCCAGAATTCAGGGTAAGTTATGGCTGAGCTTGAAAGTTGCCGGCTGCATTTTTTTCTCGCTCAGGTGCTACAGCACAGGCGGGCAGGCAAAGTAGACATCTGAAACGGAACCCCAGACCCCGAAAAAAGAAAGTCTGTTTCCATTGAACATCGCAGGAGGTGCTGGAGTCTTCCGCAGTCTGTGGCGATGCTGCAGAACGCTTCTCGACTCATGCTTTTGCATTTCGTTTTTGTGTTGTTGTTGTTGTTGTTGTTGTTGTCGTTGTTGTTCCGTTAAGCCTCTCGGCTCAGGAAAGGTCAGGCTAGTACAGTTGCCTTTTTTTCCTTTCTTGCCATGGCATTTGTCAGCGCCTGAGCAGTCCCGGTCCCAAGTCCGGGAGGGAGTATTAGACTTACAGCTCTCTAACATCTCCCAGAGGTGAGGGTTGTCGGTATTGCGAAGCCGACAGCAGCAGTACTCAACATGAGTGCTGCGAAACAGCCTAGTGGTTCGACCAAGCATCAGCCCGTTCCTAAAGGGAAGGGTAAACGCTCTTATCAAAGGGCAGCACGTAAAGCCCTGCTTGAAGGTAGTGCGGTCTACAAGGGAAGGACGATGTCGTTAACAGAGCTTGGAGTTGCTCCGGCGCATGAAAAGCCCACCAATCCCGGCAGAAGGACTCGGCCTTCGAAATTTACAGAAGATAAGAATCTCAGCTATCTTTCCTGGAACGCAGGATCTCTCACAACAGCAGTTTGGGAAGAGCTACTCTCCGTACTGCAAAGTGCCGCATTTCAGGATGTGAGGCTGGTAGCAATTCAGGAAACACACTGGAGGGGCTCGTGGCAATTGAGCAAGTCAGGCTGGCACGTAATCAGCTCTGGTTCCACAGGGGAGAAGGGAGCAGGGGTCCTCATAATGGTGCACTCCACGCTGTGCAAGTCACAGGACCTTCGCTACAACGAGGTTGTTCCAGGAAGAGTTCTCCAGGTCCGGGTGCCGAGCAACGGCATCTCACTGGACGTCTTCAGCTGCTATCAATACGTTTGGCGCTCAAAGGAGACAGTCGCTCAGAATAAGGAAACCCGGAAGCAGACCCTTCACACCCTAAGTAAGTCCATCCGAGCTGTTCCCAATCGCAACACTCTCCTAGTGCTAGGAGATTTTAACTCCTCGCTCAAAACCGACAACAAACACGTAGGGCCATGCACGATCCAGGCTTGCAGACTTGGGCATCGCGGATCTAAGGATCTCCAGACCCTACTGTCGGAGCACCAGCTAGTCGCAACCAACACTTGGGGAGTGCATAGACCAGCCACCCACGAACAAGGCAACTCTGTTTCGCAGATTGACTTCTCGTTTGTCAGGATTGCACAGTCCCAAGGCCCCGCCAGGTTTTGCCGGCCATTAAGGACATTCCCAGTTGCATCCTGGAGGGATGGTAGTAGGCATTTCCCCCTTCTAGGTAAACTGAGACACAGCAGGAGATACTCCGCCCAAGCCTCAAAACCCTACGACCAGCAGGCAATGGAGGACTGCTATAGACACCGTTCCCCGAAAATACAGGCATTTGCCAGGGAGGTAGACTCCCTCCTTGAGGACCATCCCAAAACCTGGCAGAGCCTCCATCAAGCAATGAACTCAGCCCTTGCGACTCACTTTCCCAAGCGAAAGGAAGCAGCACAAAGATCAGATCTCAGCATCTGGGAAGAGCGCTTTGTGTTACGTTCACTCCCACTAGCAGTTAAGGTCTTAGCAGAGTTCTTGCCCGAGCTGCAGGTCCGTATGGTGTTTCGGTGCTGGCGCTCGTTCTCCCAGCAAAGCGCACAGGCGAGGGTAGCAAAGCGTCACAAGCAGGAGCGGCGGCGGCAGGAAATAGACGAACAACTCCAGCAGGCAGAGCTTAAGTCCAAGCAGGACGGGAGTCATTCCCTCTACAAGGTAATCAAGCGCTTCAGGTCGGGGAGGCCCCAGGAAAGAGTTCAGCTTCGTGATTTTGAGGGTCGCTTCCTTACTGCCAAAGAAGAAAGAAGACAATTAGAGGAATATTCCCTAGACCTGTTTGGAGCAGGGGATGACTTCCCGCTTTAAGGGATACAAGGCAGCCTGTGCATCACTGAGCAAGAAGTGCAAGAACAGCTTGGCACAATAAAGCTGGGCAAGGCGGTTCCTAAAGAGAGTCCTCCCGTAGTAGCCTGGCGCTCCCTAGGTCCCCAAGCAATCCGGCTAATCTCGGACACCCTTAATAGGGAAGTCACTGCAGGAAGGCTCTCGGACAGTGTCACCTCGTCACAGATCTCCTGGCTCCCAAAGCCTCCCAAGAAGCCAGACAAACCAACCTCACTCCGTCCGATCGGGGTGATAGCACCAGAGGGTAAGGTCCTAGCCGGACTTGTGCGGAAGAGACTTAAGTCTGCCCTTCAGCAAGCAATGACCGGCGTATCTCAGTTCGGCTTTGTCCCAGGCAGGGGCACATGGCTATCTGCAAGGCCCTCACACATGTGGACCAGGCCAGGTTCAGACAGGCCCTCACCACTAGGGCTGCAGGCAAGGGACAACAGGGGCTCAAGCTCAGAGGCAGCATCACCATGAGTGTGGACATGAGCAAGGCTTTTGACACTGTAAACAGGCTGCGACTAAGAGAGGCCCTGGAAGCCGAACAAGCAGATCCTCTTCTGATAGAGGTGGTAGGACATCTCCACATCAAAGCCTTGTACAAGATGACAGCCAGCGATCAGAGCTTCGAGATAGCCACACGCAGGGGAATCAAGCAGGGATGTAAGCTAGCACCCTCTTTATTCGCCTTTGCATCAGGGCTTCTCTTTAGGAAGCTCTCTGGGAAAATCAGCCCAGCGGAACTAGTGAAGCTCCTCACAATGTACGCTGACGATAGCTTGATCCAGTCGCATTTCGACTCTGAGGCCGGACTCATGACAGCACTGGGGTACTGCGACCTGCTTCTGGATCAGCTGGTAGAGCTTGGGTTCAAGGTCAATCCGTCTAAGTCAGCAATTCTGCTACAGCTGCAAGGGGGCTCAGCCTCGACCATTAGGAAGAAACTCTTTCGCCAGGTCGAAGGAGAGAAGTATGTTGAACTCCCTTCGGGCAGGCTGATATCGCTGCGCTATCAGGTCCCATACTTGGGGGTCATTCTCTCTTATCAAATGAAGACTCTCAAACATCGGCTGTCATCCAGTAAGCTTGCAATGTCAGAAGTAGCCCATGCAGTTCGGAATCACCGAGTCTTATCAGACAGACGTCGTCTGTCGATTTGGACAATAACTGCGTGGGCCTCTGCTCTGTATGCACTCCACGTGGTGGGGATGACACAGCAGGGATTGCAAAAGCTCCATTCACACATGATGTACCAACTCAGATTCGTCCTGCGGAGTTACTCCCAGGAAACGAAGGAATCAAACCAGGAGTTACTCCGGAGATTACGGATTCCTCACGTGAAGGAGCAGCTGCAAAAGAGAATGACCCAGTTTATAAAGAGACAGCAACACTCCGATCCCCAGCTTCTCCCACACTATAAGTTGCGTGCTGAGGCAGTTAGCCAGGCATTGGAAGGCCTCTCCACGGACTTCTCCTCGCACAGTGTGGAGGATAAGCTTCTGACCTGCAGTGAATGTGGAGCATGTCTCTCTGGCATCGGAGCACTCCGTCGCCATCTGCAGAAGGCTCACCCAGACTCTCAGCAGTGCCTGAAAGGACCCAAATTTGATCCTATTTTGCATTCAATGCCAGGGCCAGCAACTTGCATCGCCTGTCGAGCAACATTCCGAACAGTGTTTTATCTGCGCAAACATGTCGAAGCATCTACCTGCCCTAGGGTAGAGCTTCTGCTTAGACAGCAGGAAGAACTACCCATAGAAGCACAGAACCGGATCTCACTCGTAGAAAGTCTACAGTCTGATGCCCAGGACAACCCTGAAGGCGCCGCTCGAAATCCGGCGTTCCATGATTACCTGATGGAACACTGTGCACTCTGTGGTCAGGTCCTCGTAGGCCAGAAAGGAGCCAAACAGCACTTAAACAAGCAGCATCCAGAGGTGATGGCCAAGCCGGAGAAAACTCTCCATCCTAGACTCAATCAATTCAAGGTCTACTCCCACAAAGGAGATAGCTGTCGATACTGCAAACTTCGAGTGGATGCCCCGGGTAGACATGCTCAGCAGTGTGTTCCATTACTGCAGGTGCACGTACTGCAGGAGGTAGCGTGCCAGCAGCTCAGCAAGCAGCCCCGCGAATATACTCGAGCAAAGTCCACGGCATCGGGGAAGACAGTCACAAAGAAGTCTTCAGATTCAACGCCAGGAATTCCTCACCCCGTGTTTAGACTGGAAGGCTTTCTCCTGCTAGCCAATACACGCAACCACTGCTATGCCAACTCAGGTCTGCAGTGTCTCCACTGGCTATCAGATCCTTCAGAGGCGACCTTTCAAGAGGCATCCCGGATCAGTCAGCTTGCGAGAATAACCCCTGAACACAGAGTCTTCTCGGAGCTCACCATTGGCTGGCTCTTTGACGGAGGCCAGCACGACTCTGCTGAGTTCCTGCAGCAAGTGTTTCGGAATCTCTCTGTATCAAGATTTGGACAGTGGGAAACTAGAGCCTCAGTACCGGAAGGTGTGATAGTGGACGAAGAAGGGGGCTCTCCCATTCATCTTGCCACGGCGATCAAGACCAACCTACAGGACATGCTAGTGGCATGGTCATCTCAGGAGCGTTCATGTGCTCTCTTAGAAGCAGCGCAGCAGGTGTGCACAGCCTTGCCGAGATTCTCAGGTGAAGCTAAGGATCACACTCGCATCATAATCCCACAGAAAGTCCAGATCCCTGTCTTCCTGGACCACACATCCCGAGTATCGTTCTGTGCCTACAAAGTAGAGGCAGTGATCATTCACCTAGGAATAGGGTCCACTAGTGGCCATTACCGTGCAGCTGTACGCACAGCAGATGCCTGGTATATTGGTGATGACTCTCACCCTCCTAGTCTCTGTACCCTCGAAGATCCTCTGCTTCAAGAAAATAGCTACGTCATCTTCCTAGCTCGCAGCGCCGTCTCTCACGAGCCCCAGGACGTAGCCAATCTCCCGAGTAATGTCTCTGCAAGAGTTCTTCCAGCGAGCATCGATGGATGAGAGCTCTGCTCCCAAAAGGGGAGAGGCAGGTCCGTCAGGTGGAGATTCTCCCCTGAAGCGACAGCGTGGTGGAGG